TCAGTGACCATTTTGAAAGAAATTTCAGTAACCGTTTGTGAAATTAACCCTTAGTACATTAGACTTGACATGACTAAAAATATTAGGGTGTGTTCTGTTTACCATTTTTAAGCCGTTTTCTGTTTTCGATTTTTCGAAACAGTGAAAACGCATTATCTTTCCTATTTTGAAAAATGCGTTTTTGAAAACAAGTTAAAATTTACAAAGAAAACTCAAAACGATCGTTTTGGGTGTTTTCAGTTATAATCAAGTCAAAATTTTCAAAACGCGTTTTGAGTGTTTTTAAAATGTCAAAAAGAATACATTTTCAACAATCTTAAGATGAACTCTCAAAACACAAAATCTAAAATGAATTCAAAACTCAAAACACAAAGAGAACAATCCCTTAGTAGTATCCATTACATACACAAGCGATCATACATTTGTATTTGCAACTCAAAAAACAGGTCGCTACTTAATTAGTTATTTAATGTGATCTTATATTAAGGCATAACATAATCATCTTCAAGTGCAATTCATGTGGAAGGCGCTGTTAAAAAAGAGAGAACTCTGTTATGCTTGAATCCTGTCGCACTACGAGTCATTATCGAGTCGGATTGTTTGAGAATGTATACCCAATCAAGCACTACCCATGGAAAATTGTTACGAGGTGTGAAGAACTTTCCTTTTCGGCAGTCAACACATGAATCCATCTGGATTTTGGAAGCCAGTGAATATAATTAAGGTAAGTGTAGAAAGTAACGATTGCCGACGGTTGCAACAACCATCGCGGGCAGGAATTGGAAAAGTAGTCCCGTTTAATATATTTTTAGCTTATGTTTGGTAGAAATTAAAATTCAGATTTTAATCTAAATCAAAATCAACAATTAATTTTAATCACACGTTCATAGGAGTCACAACTTTCTAATTACACATTTCATCAATTTCTATCAAAATCTACTAAAAATCCGATTTTAATCCCTACCAAACATGGACTTAGTATTTGTTTGGAAAATATTTTTACAAGTAAAAACATTTTTTTAATGAATGTGTAACTAAAATGTTTGGAAAGTTATGCATCCCATAAATGTATGATTGAAAAAGATTTTGAAGAAAAAATTATTTTAAAAAATCCCTTCCAAACAAGGCCTCAATCCTGTTAAGAATATTATATTGGAACACAACTTTTCTATAGTGACCTTTTAATGTTAAATAAATTCATTTATTGAAATAGTTCATATCTAATTTTTTTTTTTTTAACCCCTTCGAGGGTGGCCGAGTGGTGGAGCAGGTGAACGTAGAGACCAGAAGTCACAAGTTCGAATCCTCTGCCAACACTTTCTTGGTCGAGCCTTTACCTCTCTTGTGTTGTTTGCGAGCTACTGCACATGGAGTGTAGTTTACCTAGTTTCCACTCACAGTGGTCGAGCCTCCGCCCTTTCGGGGTGGTCGGGGATCCCCTGATGGGTAGTGGCTACGGATTCCTACGTCAACAAAAAAAACAAAAAAAATATCTTCCTTATTCTTACTACTTATAAATAAGGTTATTGATATTTTAAGTTGACCATTCTCGTTCTTGTGCATATATCATAGTTTTCAATTTTCATTATGCCTCTGTCTTTCTAGAATACAAATTGTTCTAGTGTTTTCTTCTAATCGATTGGTTTATAAATGGTCTTTGATATTGACTATTTCAAGATGAAGAATACTAGATTTTTCATTTATTTTGTCAAAATATTCTTTTTTATTCCCTTGAAATTTGATAAAATATCCATTATCAATCAAGTAGCATCCTAACAAGACTAAACCCCTGTTTGGTGAAAATTAAAAGTCAGATTTTAATGTGAATCAAAATCAACCATTAATTTTAACCACACATTTAATGAGATCTACAACTTTTCAACTACATTTTTCATCATCTTCTGTCAAAATATACTATAAATCAGATTTGAATCCCCACCAAATATGGACTAACTATTCAAACTCGACGAGTTTAGAGAGTGATGCCTTTTATTTGACTAACTCGTGAGGAGGGATAGTTGTCAACCAGACAGAGCAAAACTTCTTTGTTATGCACAATATTAAACTATCTAATATCATATACCAAACATTTTTTTTTATTGTCTTCGACTATCGCTACCTTAGTCTGTTTTCCTAAACTAAAACCAATTTTGACATGGGGTCTTTGGTTATTTACAAGGTACCCCTTACAACAAAGTTGCCTCTCCATTTTCAAATTACAATATATACATGTATATAAGCATCAATGTTTTCACCATCTATCATTTGATTCCCCCTCCCCTCTCTAGAATAAATTAAAATGTCCATGGATCAAACACCATCGGAAAATCAAGGTGAAAAGAAAGTTAGCTCATATGAATGCATCTTCTGCAAGAAGAGTTTCTCAAGTGCGCAGGCACTTGGTGGCCACATGAACATCCACAGGAAAGACAAAGCCAAGCTGAAGCAATCCTCAAAAGATCAGACAACGAGAAAATCCTTGAGCATCAATGCTGCCTGTCTAGACAGGGTCAATGTCTCTGGGTATGTTTGATATACAGTATTGGATAATACTATAATAATTTACTATTATGATTATTCCTTTTTTTCTTGAATACTTTTCAATTCAATCAAGTCTAACGTGCCATCCGTATCTTCGTTTGGCAAAATGAAAAGAACGGCGACATGGCCTTGTATCGCTTCATCAGTAGATATAAAATCTCCTAGAGGTGAGGGAGAAACAGCAACTGGCCAAGAATTCGAGAGTGCAGTATTGGACCTCGAGTTGAGGTTAGGCAGCCAGCCTCCAAAATCAGCAGCTACTATGAACACGAGAAAATTGTTCTAATCAGTTTTTACTCCTCTAGGTACTTGCTATGTTTAAATAATGCTTCATTTTCCTGACTTTCAAAACTTTTGAAAGGACCTTTTACTTTGGAGTCATCAGCTCTTCGAGAGATCCCTCGACCGACTTCTCAAACAGCTTGATGCACTGTCACCCTTATTTTTCGAATATCTGAAGGCCCCTTTTTTTTATCTTGGGAATTTCATTCATTATTAATACATTTTAATTTTCTAACATGATTTTATTTGCTTTCACTAATGAATATAAATTAATGTTTGTTCTTTCTAATTCAAGATGAGAAACCCGAACATAATAATTTATAGCTCTCTTACAACTCCTAAATTTTCAAAAGCTTTCTATGTTCAAGTTTGATACATGTTAATGAGAACTCAAAATTTTATCGATAATTGTATTCTATACTGTGCAAGCATGTGCTCTAAAAGTTTCTGACAAAAGATTGCGTTTTTCTTATGATCAAACAAAACCCATGATAGGGTTCATTTATATTGCTTTTCTATGTACCCAACTCTCCCATTCATTGTTTACAAAATAAATAAATCTCATTTATCATAAAAACTATTGTTTTGCGTGGAAATTGAGCATTGCTAATAACTAAAGAAGATTCAAACAATTGTGTGAGTAACAACAACCTCTCGAGACAAATTCCCAACGAGGAGTGTTTTATTTATGAAAATTACAATTTGGAAGAAGCGAAATGCCTCCAAGGAACACAAGCACACTGAATTCGCAAAGTAACTGAAAATTTAACAAGAAGAAAAGAAATAAAATTACA